ATACAGTAATCCTTTGTACAATATGACTTGGCAAATAATCATCTAATATATGCTTGGACACTTCCACTAATGGAAAATTCATTATCTCTCCAGCCAATCTGTTTCTTATTTGGACAATTCAGGCTATTAGTAATTTTTGAAGTCTGCTGTAATTTGTCTCATTATAGCATCCATCTATTGGCCTTTTTGGGGGGAAGAGAGCTATTATTGTGTGTCAACATTTACTGAGCTCCTAATATATTCTAGGCAATGTGCTGAGTGCTGAAGAAAGACGAGTAAGACGTTGTTGGTCAGGGATCTCTCAGGTGTTGTTTCTTGGAATTAAAGCAGCTGTGCTGGTAGCCTTGGGTGTCTTTCATTCCCCAACTTGCCATTGGGTTGGGACTTTTTTTCTTTAATTATTTTATTTATTTCTGTATTGTTATTCCACATACACAAAATTCATTGAATTTCGAAACAAATTCAAAGGGAATAGGGCCATACAGTGAAAATAAGTCTCTCCACACCCTTGTCTCCTGATTCCATAGCTGCTTTCTTGGGAGGCAACCACTGTTACCCATTTCCTGTGGGGATTTGACTTTAAAGAACAGCACTACCCAAGGTTTAGGACCATTTGTAAAGAAACTTTTGGCAAGTACTCAGACAGTGGTGTTTTATGAGCTCCTACTTTGTGTAAGTTGCTGAGTGTGACTTAGTTTTATTTTCATAAAGCCAGAAATTTGCACCACGTTTGGGTGGTACACACAGCCCCAGAGAGTTTGTATTACTTAACCACCCACCTGCTATTTCAGTTAAATCTTGGCTGGATATTTTGGTTACTGCTGGGATTCTTGCTCATGAAAAGCACTGAATCCTCATCAAAGCCTTTCCTCTTTCAGTGGAGATGACACAATCCCATCTTGTATAACTCCTGGGTTTCACATCCTGAATATGATAGAAATAGTGGAAATAAAGTTGAACCACACTTATATTGAAGCCCCTGTCATTTTCCTTCCTTGAATATGTCTATATATAGTGTTGAAGTTTCTAAGCAGAATTCTCACCTTGTATTGTCTAGGGTTGTATAGACAAGTAATTTTTTAGGAAGCAGGTGACGTTTGGATCTAGGTGAGTGACACATAAATGACTTTACACCTATAACTCACTACTCCCTCCAGAATTCCATTTTGATCATGACTTCCTTAAATCTTCCCTTCCAGCTTAAGGAAGATGGCAGTGTGACACAGATGTATGGATTCCTAAGTGATATATTTATACTTGAGTATGCTATTTAGATGTTTCCAGCAATGTCCTCATCACATGTTGCTGCTGCTTAGGACCTTTCTGTCTTCTTAGCCTGTCAAGCAGCAGTTCAGCGGCTGAATACCAACCATATCCTCTTGTGAAATAGGCTCTTGGGTTCTGTTTGAAATTTCTAAAAGATCAGATAAGTCAGAAAATGTTTGAAGGATGTTCCTCTTATGCAGATTACTTTGTTAGTATGCTCATCTCTTATTTTCTAAGTGGTCTTCCTGAGTCACCTTTTCCCAGTTGTTTTAAGTGCGGTATAGAAGAGAGTCTTCTCTTTTTCTCTGTCACTGGTAAAATTCCATCTTGGTGACTTCAGCAGGTCATCCAAATGATGATGAGTTACCGCTGACCTTTAAGAGTAAGTTGTGGATGACTAAAGCATGTAGGGGCCTGATGACCCATCACACAGAGGCTTTCAGAGATTCATTTGTACTACTGTCTGCTGCTGTGTTGATTTCCTTCCATATTGGATGACTACTCTGGCTATGACCTTTTACTTTTGACTCTGTTGGAGAGGAAGTTAGTATGCAAATGTTTTTCAAAATGGTTCTTTTTTAGCATCTGTGTGGCTGATGGGCAATATAAAGGCTCTGAAAAGGGGTGTCTTCCTTCAAGGCAGTACTACTGTACTTGTGATGAGAGCTGGGGCTTTGAAGCCAGTAGACCTGGCTTATAATCTCAGCTCTTCTCCTTCCTAACTGAGTGACTTTGGGCAAGGTACTTGGTATTTTCAGTGCCTCCATTTCTCTTCTGTAAAGTAGGCATAGGGCAACCACTTTGAGGTTGTCCTAGGATAATGTGTAAAATGTTTAGTGCTTGGTACAGAAAAACGATTCAATTAGAATAGTTACTACTACTGCTGCTGTTATTTAAAAAAATTTTAAAAGGGTATGATCAAAAAAGGAAGTATGATTCATGATGGTAAATGCTCTAATGGAAGTTTTCATCTGTCATCATGGAGAAGGGAACCATTGATGCCCACTGACTGTGGGCGTTAATGAGAGCTTCATAAAAAATCTTACTAGATGAGATGGAATTTTCCTGGTAGAGATGGGGAGAGGTTTCCTAGGGAAAGGCGTAAGACTGAGAAATGACCAAGCTGAGACAGTGTTGGCGCCTTACTCTCTCTGGGGTAACGCCGGTAAGGTTTTGTTTGTTTAAACAAGGCAGTCACCTGTGCAGATCAGTTCTGGTGGCAACATGACATCTTGTTTGGAGAAGGTAGAGACAGAAGGCAGTGACCTGTGAGCATGTTACCTCAGGAGCTGAGGTGTGAGATGGTGCGCCTGACATGTGGCAGGGGGATGGAGGAGAGAAGGGACTTGGACAGGAAACATGAAATTGCATGAAGAGTATGGGCATGTGGAATTTGGATTCTTGTCCTCCCCAGTTCACCCCACTTTCCTACCTGTATGTACTTCTGTGGACTTCTTACCTCCGTGAACCTCAGTCTCTTCCTCTGTAAAATTGGAACTGTCACTTATTAGGGCTTTCCAGAGGAATAAATTCAGGTGCACACCTCTGCTGCACTGCCTGGTCCTGGTCAATGCCCAGTAGCTGTCACCTTCATCTCATTCCAGAGGCCCGTTTAAGGTTGAGTCTCTAGCAATTACTGATTTACTGACTATGAGAGATAGAAAAATTGAAGATGACTTTGAGGTTTTGACCTCGGATATAAGTGATACTCTTAAGTAAACTAGGACGTATTGGGAAAGGGGCAGAATTTTGGGAAAGGAAATGTTCAGTTGGGGTTTGTCAAACTTGAGATGTCTGTGAGAAATCCAAGTCCTGGCTTTTAAAACATACAGATGACCCTTGAACAATGTGGGGTATAGGGGTGCTGACCCCCCACATAGTCAAATTCATGTATAACTTTTGACTCCCCCAAACTTAACTACTAATAGCCGATTGTTGACCGGAAGCCTTACTGATAACATCAACAGTCAATTAACACATAGCTTCTAGGTTATATGTATTATATACTGTAACACATAGCTTTTAGGTTATATGTATTATATACTGTATTCTTATAATAAAGTAAGCTAGAAAAAAGAAAATATTATTAAGAAAACCATAAGGAAAATACATTTACAGTATTTTGATACTGTACCGTGTCGAAAAAATTCCACGTACAAGTGGACTCATGCAGTTCAAACCTGTGTTGTTCAAGGGTCAACTGTATATGTTTGGAGGTTAGCTCTCTAGAAGTATAGTCCTACAGTTCACTGACATATAAATAGAAATTGATGTAGAAAATGAGTAATTTTGCTTTTGAGAAAACTTATAGACCAAGGAGAGAGCTGAGCGTGGAATCTTTCAAAAACCAATGGTGGAAAGCATTGTGGAGGAAGAGTAGAAGGGAGCGATTGGAGGAGGCTGTTTGGGTGTTCTAGATCCACGTTTCTCAACACGAAGGCCCCAGGTCACCTATATGAGGGTCTGTTTCTCTGTTGGGTCCTGAAGCCCCAGTGCATGGGATCCATAAGCTTTCCCTGGTCCTATGGAAATAGGTGTGAGCTGGAAAAAGATGAACATTCTGAGAGTACAGAATTATAAAAAGCCTTTCAAATAATTAAAAGCCAGAAATTATTTAATACGGGACGAGGGTACGTTTAAATATGTTTGAAATGGTTTAGAGGTGGGGCCTCCAAAAGTAAGAGTGCCAGTGGCCTGAAGCCATCAAGATAGTACCAAACTTGAATCAGAGCCGCCTGGGACACTAATCAAACCTGGAGACTCCTGGCCACCCTCACCCTCCCTTCTCCCCTCCAGCAGGTGGAGCCCAGGCATCCTCTGTTTTGTTTTAAGATTTTATTTATTTATTTGTCAGAGAGAGAGAGAGAAAACAAGCAGGGGGAGCGGCAGGCAGAGGGAGAAGCAGGCGCCTCACTGAGCAGGGAGCCCGATACAGGACTTGATCCCAAGACCCCGAGATCATGACCTGAGCCGAAGGCGGACACTTAACTGACTGAGCCACCCAGGTGTCCCTTAAGCCTCAGTTTTTAATGAGCCCTCAAGGTGGGGAAAGTTGGAAAGCCTTTGGTCAGACATTGTCTGACGCATGATGCTGAGAATACATACTGAGGCATTCAGGAGTTTTAAAGAGCTCCTTCCCTGAGACGTCCTCCCTGCTTTGCCCCATACTCATCTCCTCTTTCTGGAATTTTAGCATTTTCATGGAGTGCTAACTTTGCATTTTACTATCTAGTTATTGTCAGTCGAAAGCTTGTTATCTCTTTTTTTTTTTAAAAGATTTTATTTATTTATTTATTTGAGAGAGAGCGAGAGAGAGAAAAAATACGTGCATAGAGGGAGAGGGAGAAGCAGACTCCCTGCTGAACAGAGAGCCTGACCTGGGGCTCGATCCCAGGACCCTGAGATCATGACCCGAGCCGAAGGCAGCTGCTCAACTGACTGAGCCACCCAGGCACCCCGGAAAGCTTGTTATCTCTTAATTCCAAAATCTAACAAGTTTGGAAAACTGAAAGCTATGTGATAATCTTGGCTCAAAACTCAGGCAATAGATGTGAACTGTTGTCATCTAGTGTGATTCTTCATACTTTCTGCTGCAGAAATATTACTCTCTCTGGTCATAGGGAAATTAGGGTGGAGAGTGAAGAGACCTCCCTGACTTCTGCTTTTTGGAAATACCAAGTTGCTCTAGTATTGTGCTGCTCCGGCTGGTAGTGGTGTCCCCCTTAGAGTGTGTGCAGGGGTGGGGGAATTACAGTGTACGCATGTCTGATTGCTGGGAGGGTCACATTTATTTGATGATTTCAGGGGGAGAAGGAAATATTAAAATACGTATGGTACGGTAAAATGCAAATTTTCCATGCATTTAAAAGATAAAAGGTGAGATGTAAAAAAAGTTCAGGTTAGGTGGGCAGAAATTTCTTCATTCTCCTCAGCAGGGGGTGCTCAAGTGCTGCTCTCATTCAGAGCTCTGCTGGTTGGCCTTGTGTTTCTGACCCGCTGGGCTTGTGAACTTCTCCAGGACCACACAGGAGGACAGAAATGTCTGAGACTGTGATTATGTCGACGAAGGAGTCGCATTCGTGTAGCAGTCAGAATGACTTGAACAAGAAAGGAAGATACACAGAGGTAAAGGCCAGAAAGGCCTAAGAGAAAGGACTTTACTTAGAAAATCAGTTGTGTTGTCATCCTATGTTGTTGGCAACATAGGCGGAGTACTCAGGGTGATTTTCAGTTAGGTCTTCAGGTAGCCTGTATATCTCCCATCATCTTTTGTTTGTTTGTTTTGATTATGCCTTATTACACATTTTTTTCTTACCATATTTTGTGCTATTTTGCTGTGTTCTGTTTTGTTTTTTAGTAGGCAACAAATAATGGCAGCAGCTCCGGGGGATCCTGGGCTCTCCAAATTGCAGTTCGCTCCCTTTAGCAGTGCCTTGGACGTTGGATTCTGGCACGAGTTGACCCAGAGGAAGCTGAATGAGTATCGGCTGGATGAAGCTCCCAAGGACATTAAGGGCTATTACTACAATGGTAGGTGACAGTAAACTCCGTATTCCATCATCTTCAGTTATGTTTTCTGCCCTCCAGTATAGGGTCAGCTTTCCTTTAGAAAGGGACACCCTTGTCTTTTATAATTAATACTGTTCACTGGTTTCTATTTTACTTCCTGTCTGTCTTTAATTAATTAATTAATTTTTATTTGGGTGTAGTTTACACATAGTGCTACGTTAGTTTTAGATTTACAGCATAGTGATTTGACAAGTTTATATGTTATGCTCTGCTCACCGCAGGCGTAGCTACCATCTGTCACCGTACAGTTCTACTTCAGTAACATTGATTATATTCCCTATGCTGTACCTTTTATCCCCATTTTACTTCCTGGCTTTTGATACAAATTCATTTGCACTTCTTTTTCTCTGCTGTGGGGAAAAGAAAGGGAGTGGTGAGACTCCAGGTATTAATCCAAAGAATTAATACTGACTACTTAGAATTGCTGAGGGAGGAGATTGGAAACTTTTTTTTTCCAATGAATCTTTTTTTATAGTCTTGACAAATTCCTCCAATTCAGAAAAGCTCTGGCATCTTCTGCTAAGTCCCTGTTGAATATGGATGACCAGGAATTGGACAGGGCACTTAGGGCTCAAGAAAGAGAACAAAATTATTCACAAATGTTTTAGTTATGAATGCTGCTATTGCTGACTCATAATGGAAAATGTGATAATGCTTCTGTCCAGGTGATTCTGCTGGGCTGCCAGCTCGCTTAACGTTGGAGTTCAGTGCTTTTGACATGTGAGTATTTTTTTTTTTTTTGCTTAAAATCTAAAGTGTTTCCTTTTTGTGAGGAATGAGCATTCTTACCTTTACACATAGGTGGGCCCCAGGAGGAGCTGGCAGAGCCCCCGGAAGCAGGGCCAGCTCTTCAATTCTCTTCAATTCAAATTCCATTGCACAGAGACAAGTGCTCGATGCTTAGGACTATCGGATATATTTTTTTTCAGCAGGTAATTATCAGAGCCTATTAGGTGCGAAGTATCATCTAGATTGATTAAAACATAATATTTATCCCTCCTGCTTTTGATTTTATTTAATATTTTGTGATTACTTATTGGTACTTCTTGACTTACTCTTGACTTACTCCTTCAGTTGCTTATCCATGGACATCAGTGAACATTTATTAGGTAGCTTTTGCTGAATTGCCCTCCCCAAAGGGGCCTCCCAATTTTTAGGATGACTGGGGCACAAGGACAGAGAAGTGTTACAGAAACCAAGGTTGGGTGCTTTCAGGAAGGAAAGAATTGATCAACAATGTCAGAAGCAGAAAGGTCAGCGTTCAATGCAAGGGTCATTGGATTTGTTGATCAGGCTGTTTGCAGTCCCAAACTGAAATCCACACAGAAGGGTGGAGCTGAAACCATATTGTCTTACAATTAATGGTTGAAGAATTGACGGCTTCAGTGTGGTCCGTGTTTCCTGCTTTCTCCACATTAGCAGTGTCAACATGTGGGAAATGAGAAAGGCCAAGTGGTCTTTGTAAGGACTGCCTGGCTTTTGAAAGTCGCAGTAGTCAAAGGTTAGGGTATTCCAAGTAAAGGATCCCTAGAATATATTTTTTATTTTCATTTTATTTATTTTTGGGGGGTTTTGAAGTTTTTCTTTTAATTCCAGTTAGTTAACATACAGTGTTGTATTAGTTTCAGATGTACAATATAGTCATTCAACCATGCCACACATCACCTGGTGCTCATCATGACAGGTGTCCTCCCTAATCCCCATCACCCATTTAACCCATCCCCTTACCCCCTTCCCCTCTGGCAACCATCCGTTTGTACTCTATAATTAAGAGTCTGTTTCTTGATTTGTCTCTCTCTCTCTCTCTCGTCCCCTTTGCTTGTTTATTTTGTGTCTTAAGTTCTTAAGATTAACTTCTTAAATGAGTGAAATCATATGGTATTTGTCTTTCTCTGAGTTATTTAACTTGGTATTATACTCCCTAGCTCCATCCATGTCATTTGCCAATGGCAGTATTTCATTCTTTTTTTATGGCTGAATAACATTCCGTTGTATATATGTATATCCCATCTTTTTTATCCGTTCATCAATCGGTGGACACTTGGGCTGCTTCCATAATTTGGCTATTGTAAATAATCCTGCTGTAAACACAGGGGTGCATGTATCCCTTTGAATTAGTGTTTTTGTATTCTTTGGGTAAATACCCAATAGTGCAATTACTGGATCATACAGTAATTGTATTTTTAATTTTTCAAGGAGCCTCCATACTGTTTTCCACAGGAGCTACACCAGTTGGCATTCCCACCAGCAGTGCATGAGGATTCCTTTTTTTTCCACATCTTTGCTAACACCTGTTGTTTCTTGTGTTGTTGATTTTAGCCATAGACTATATTTTTAAAATCTCTCAAAAAGTCAACACATTTGATTCTTCTATCTCAAATTGCAAAATTTAACTGCATAACATAAATCCAAAATGATATTAGTCCTTTCCCCAGGTGAATCAGGGATTTGATATGCTGAAATAAATAACACACCACACTCTGAGGGGAAAGAAAGGCTTAGGAAAAATAAACAAAACGTGGTCCTATTAAAAAATATATTAGTCTTTATATCTTTAAAGGGTATGTGTTGGTGTTTCTTGTTCTTTTCAGACCTTTCTTGATCTGTAATAAATTCCTTGTGATTGCTTGTCGAAACAAATCAAATCCTGGTAATTTCTCTCTTGTTTTGATAGAGATTAACTTACCTTTGAAGCAGTTACAAGATAATAAGGAAAATGATCGACAGTGTATAAGCATTAAATAATCTGAAGAAGTTCAAGGGGGCATATGAGCAGTGTAGTTTTAATGTGATCTCAAGAATCTGACATTAATTGCAAGCTAAACTTGCTGCCATCTTTATTCTGGTACTAGACTGAACGGTTATTTTTTTTAATATTTTAATAATTTTATTCTTTGGAACAATTAATTATAAGAAAAAAGCAGTTCATAGAAGTTAGGTTTTGATCTTATTACAAAATCCAAACCTCTTAAACTCAAGCGATCCAGAAATTTTAGTTGATGGAGGTAAGAACATCTGTGATCGCACAGCTCTGACTTTCACAGGAGTTGCTTGATTTGACTGGTCATACCTTTTCATCGTTCTGTTGAATAACCATGGTGTGCGAGGGTGTGTAGTGGGCGGTTGGGGAGATGAGCAGGAATGAGGCGCGGCTCTAGTGGCAGAGCTGGAGCTGGTAGACCTGGTATCTATGGCGGGTTAACTCTGTGACCTAGAATAAGTGCTTTTAATTTCCTCACATTCAGTTTCCTCATCTCTGGCACTTGGCTTCTGACGTTCCTTCCAGTTTTACAAGTCTGTGATTTTCTGAATCTGTCTTCAGATGATTGGTGCTTTGGTCCAAGTGTTTGTGTCCCTGCCAAAATTCATATGTTGAAAACCTAATGCCCGTGGTGATGGTATCGGGAGGTGGGGCCTTTGGGAGGGGGTTAGGTCATGAGGCAGAGGCCTCATGAATGGGATCAGTGCCTTATAATAGACACCCAGGGAGCTAACATGCCCCTTCCACCACTTGAGGACGTGGCTCAAGGTGGACAGCCTGTGACTGGAAGACGGCCTTCACCAGAACTTGACCATGCTGGCATCTTGATCTTGGGTTTCCAGCCTCTAGAACTATGAGAAATAAATTTCTGTTATTCATCAGCTACCTGGTCTGTGATATTTTCTTATAGCATCCAAACAGACTAAGACAGCTGGGGAGTTTAATGGAAGTGCTTGGAGCGCCACAGAAGAAAGGAGTTCTTCATATCCAAATTATTTTCATTATTATTCTTTCTTTGTTTTTATTACTGTACATCTGCATGGGTTTGTATAAACTTATTCATCAGATGCTGAATGCCTCTTACGTGCAGGATGTGTAGGTGGTAGGAATACAAAGACTTAGGAAACATGGAGCTCTGGATACAGGTAGGAGATACATATTTGCATTGTAGTGTGCTCTATGTTGTAATAAATGTGAAAAGGTAATGGTTATTTCAGAAATACTTATTGGTTGCTTCCTCTGTGTCTTGACAATAGAATGTGGGAGGCACTGGGCATGGAGAGAGGAATAAGGTACAGCTGAAGAGCTAACAGTCCTAGTACTCATTTATAGATGCCAAGAGTATCTCAGCTTTGCATAGCACCAGATAAATCCCTTATCCTCTGAGTCCCCAGAAGCCTAATGGGTCTCTGCCAGCCAGTTAGCACCGTAAGATCCTGTTCTCCACATTGTATTGGGTGAATTAGCAGTCAAGTAGTATTTTGTCAGGCATCAACCATTTTGCACTGGAGAGAACTGCTTAGGGTAGGGTATACTGCTAAACCAGACCCCAAAATGTAATGGCCAAACACAAAAGAGGTTTATTTCTTACCCATTTAATAGTCTGGGACTGGAGTTCAGTCTTCTTCCCTCTGTGGCTCCCATCATTCTGGAGGGCTTGTCTTTGTGTGCTGCTTAAAACGGAATTGTCGGGGGCACTTGGCTGACAGTTGGTGGAGTATGTGATTCTTGAACTGAGGGGTGTGAGTTCAAGCCCCACGTTGGGCATGGAGCCTACTTAAAAAAAAAGTATCTTAAATTCCACATATGAGTGAAATTGTATGGTATTTAAACAAAACAGATGAACATAGGGGAAGGGAAGGAAAAATAAAATAACAGGGAGACAAATCACAAGAGACTCTTAACTAGAGGAAACAAACTGAGGGTTGCTGGAGGGGAGGTGGGTGGGGGGATGGGATAACTGGTGATGGGCATTAAGGAGGGTACTTGTTGTGATGAGCACTGGGTGTTATATGCAAGGGAGAAATCACTAACTTCTACTCCCGAAACTAATACTATACTATATGTTAACTAACTTGTTTTAAATAAAATCTTGAAAGAAAGAGAAAAAAGTTTGAAAGAAACCCAACAACCTGAATTGTCACTTTACCTTGCCAGGCAGGTAACAAAATGACGTGTCACTTTGCTCACGTTCCACTGGGGAGAGCATGAGTCCTCACCTGTGTTGCAAGGAAGACTGGGTGGTCCCAGTCTTGGTGCATGGTGCCCCACTACAAGCAGCATATATGTACTCTATTTCTGTTTAAGAAGGAAAGAGTAGATTTTGGTGGACAAGCTCTGCAGAATTGTGAAACTGACTCATTAAAGCATCAGTTTTCCTTTTTCTGGGCTTCTTTCCCTTGAGGAGCATTTATCTTTGCAGTCAGAAGAAATGTTTTCTTTTCTAAGCCTCAAGTTGGACTTAATTAGAGAAATAGAAGCCATAACCCTTGCCCTCGAAAAAACTTCAAAAAATAGTTAAGGAAATGAGACTCATATGCAAAATCATCAGCACAGAACACAGACTCTCTTAATCTCTATCTCGTTAGTTCCTAACACAGATCTGACATGGACTAGTTGCTCCAATAACTGCTGAAATCAATTACAAGCAGTCTAAATGCATGGCTGTCAAAATGGGATGTGGTGTGATTGGTAGAAAGACAGCCGTGGAGTCTGGTAGAGATGTTGCAAAACAGACACTCACAGATTATTACAGAAAGCAGGAGATAATGGTGCATGCCCCCAGACTGAATATGACTTCTGGGTTCCCAAAGTTCCTTGTGGGCATGCAGAGCTGTGCACATGGAGCAGAGATTCCTCAAAATAATGAAAAGCCACCTCTCTCTTTATTCTGGGGGATTTATTCTTTCCTGGCCACCACCCTGCCTGTCTGTTCTGGAGGCTCTGGCCACATGCCTGCCTTTGGCCAGGTGTGAATAACAGGTGCAAACCAGCTTCAGTACTTTCCTTACCCTGTACTAGGAGACTGAGCGAAGTGCAGGCCAAGTTTCTAGAGGCAGCATTCCCAAGCAGGTCCAGGCTTGAGGCCTTTCTAAGATCAGTCCTTTACCTGGTTAGTCTATACATCATTGCGAATTCACTGTTGGCCTTGGTATATGGGGAAGATTTCTAATTCTGATCTTTTAACAGTTTTATTGAGATATAACTTACATATCCTAAAATTTGCCCTTTTAAAATGTATAATGCAGCAGTTTTTAGTGTATTCACAAGGTTGTGCAACTGCCACCACCAATTCTAGAACGTTTTCATCATTGCAGAAAGTAAGCCCATACCCATAAGTGGTTACTCTACATTCTTCCCTTCTCCCACTCCCCAGGCCAGGTAACCATGATCTACTTTCTGTCTATGGATTTGCCTATCCTGGGCATTTCATATCAATAGAATTGTAGGAAACTAAACTAATATTCTCTTGTTTCCAAGTCCAGGGCTCTTTCCACTCTTCATCTGAGCCATCTATCTGTGGAACAAGTGAACTTGAACCTGGAGAGGTTGGCAGAATGACTTCCCCCCCCCCCCACTATCACTTTTTAAATGCGTTTCCTTGGCTACCTCCCCTGGTAGGACTTTACTCATGAAAAATTCTTCCCTTTGAAACTTCAGCTTCTTCTCACTGATTAACTTGCATGGGCACTAATGTTCTAGGAGCCTGACCAGCATGCTGGCAGTTACTTGACTTCTCATGATGACACTTTGACACTGCATTCACACACCTGGGACACTCAGGCACTTAGGAAAAAGGGTCCCTTCTTGTGCATGTATCAGAATTAGATCAGAGCTTTGTTCCTTCTATTTCAGCAGTAATTTCTAAAGCCAAGTCTGAATGTAGGAAGCCTAGTGTACCAACCACTGTGCTCCTTCTTCCTCTCTCTAGGCTGCATCTTGCCCCTTTGTGATTTCTCTTTCTCTTCAAGACTGTCTTTGATGTCCTCCTCCCATGTGGATGAAAAATATTTTATTGGAGTAGAGTTGTGAGAAACAGCCTATGATTTGCTGACTTGTCAGCCCCCAAGGGAAGGCTCTGGCCACTGAAAGTTACTTTTTTCCCAGGACTTGGCATTTAAGCCCCACAGACAATATTTGGCATAGCTGCCTTCACCACCCATTGCACCCCTCCACACCTGGTCTAGGTTTCGATCTTCTCTCTTCACAGCCCCTGTGAACCCAGTTTTACAGACTCCAAGAGACATGAGGTCTTTGTACAATCAATAAAAATGCATTTTCTCTGCAGTAGTGGTAATTGACAACAATATTAGGCTACTAATGAAATGAGTATTTTCATTTAGCATCTGTAACCTCTGAAACATAAGTTAATCATTTCAGAGAAGAGACCAGATGTTTCCACATCTGAATTTGTATTCAGAATTAACTCATCTTCTTCTCCCCTGATTTTGATTACTCTGAAGACTGTAAGGGGACAGAATAGAGTGTGATACACATGTGATATGACAGATTGGCAGGTAGCCCAGGTATGATACATTTTGTCTTTGTGACTCAGACGACCACCAGAAGTTGGCTCAGCAGCAGCTTTGTGGAGCCCGTTTGGGCTGGATAAGGTCTGGAGACAGTCAGAAGAGGGAGACATGTTCCCTGCCTCAGGGAGCTTACTGTCCTCTAGTTGGGTGTCTATGATGGTCAATCTTGAAGACACTCTAAAATGTGATGCTGTTTCCTGTGCCAGCCATTACCAGAGAAAATGGGAGGGGCTTCCTGGAAGGAGAGTGTTTGGCGTAGGGCCTTGAAGCCTGGGAGGGTTTGAATGGGGAGTAGGCAGCTCAGTACCTTGGAGTCTGCTAGTTCTGGCTTTAGATTCCTGCTCCGCCTATCTTTATGTGACCTTAGGTGAGTTACTTAAGCCTTTAACCAGGAGAAAGTGCTGTTACGAAAATGCAAAACTTGTATAGTTCTTGGCACAGTAGAAGTTCAGTAAATGATGTTTCCCTTTCAGGTTAAAGATGAGAAAGAGTAAAAACTAGGTAATGAACTTATATTTGGGGGTGGTGTGGGGTGTGGTGAGCAGTGGAAGAACAATGAGAAATGAGGGTAAAGGGAATATAGAGGCTTTTTTTGTGTGTATAGTGCTGGTTTTTATTTTATTTTTTTTAGTTCTTTGCCCTGTCTTTTGTCTCCCACTGCTCTCCCGTCTGTGCCTGCCTAACCATGTTTCTCCCATGTCCAGGAGTGCTCCCACCCCAGCCCACTGCTGCCCGGCTGTTGGAACGCTCTTTAACACCAACACACTTGAGGCTTTCAAGGCCGCAGATAAGAAGCTACTTTTGGAGCAAGCAGCAGATGAGGTTAGCTGGGAAACGATGATGTATCTGTCCTATCTTCCCTGGTCTTGGTAGGCCCAATGTTTCTGATCAGGTGCGTGGGTCTGTCAGGGAAACTAGCATAGAGTCGGTACTTAAAGATCTTTGTGGGCTTTGGTTTATATCTGAGAGAGAGTACTTGCAGTTCTCCTGCGTTGGTGGGAAGGTCAGGGAGAAGATGTTCAGGCTCCCAGCTGGGGATAGGCTGGAAAGCCATGGCAGGGCAGTTGTGAAAAGCTTTGCTGCTGCTCTCCAGTTAGCATTTGGAAGCAGCTTGACCTGTCCCAGAGAGTTCTATTCATGTGTCTGCATGCCTTTGGGTTCTCTGTTATTTGTGTCCCGTGGCTTTCCAGTCCTAAGCACTGTAATGCTATCAGAGATGATTGTACTGTCTCTCCCATATCTTTAGGGCTAAATCTAAACTACTCCATCTGATTTACAAGGCCCATTGTGGTCTGGCCTCTGTGGCCTCTGTGGCCTTTCTCTCCTGTCACTCTTGCCCTCACCTTCTCTGACCCTTGTCACAGCAAATCACTTAAAATTCCTTCCCCTACTTTTGTTCTCACCTCTGTCCTTGGGACATGATATTCTTTGTGCCAGGAGTGTCTTCCTCTTACTACTTCATATCTGAGTTAGTGTGAGGAATTAAAATAGGAAGACAGTTTATCCCTGTCCCCTCTAACACACTTAATTGAGTGGTCTTCACACTAGTCTTAAAAAAAGAAAAAATGGGTGTGGGTGCCACGGTCGGAGAAGGAAATCTTCTGCCTTTGGTCTTTTTTTTTTTTTTACAGTAACTCTGTTTTTTTTTTTTTATTATGTTATGTTAGTCACCATACAATACATCATTAGTTTTTGATGTGGTATCCATGATCCATTGTTTTCGTATAACACCCAGTACTCCATGCAGTACGTGCCCTCCTTAATACCCATCACCGGGCTAACCAATCCCTTACAAAACTGGAGATGGATGTAGTTCGTGACCCAAGTGATGATGGTGGTTTTCCTTGGCCTGCAGCTTGGCTGCTCCTGGGCTCCTGCTCTGGCTGCACATTTCAAAGGCTGTCTCCAAGGAGTTGGGTCAGATTCTCATCCATCATCAAAAATCACAGGTTGTTCCCCACAGAAATCCCACCCCTTGTCCTGGGGCTCAGCCTTCACCCCCATCCACACTCCCCAGCAGTTCCCACCCCCTTAGTTAATCAGACGTGGGGCCTGCTCTTCCTTGGTCCAGCTCCTCCAAGGTTATTATGTCAATTGCAGGAACTTCTCTTTATTTCCCTCTTCCACCCAGTGGCTCCTTTGGTGCAACTGTTTGTTTTGCTTAGTGACGCAAAGTTTAGCAGCTAATCTTAGCTACTAAAACATCTTGTGATCAGCAGCTGCAGACCAGTACCAGCTTCTGCTTCTGGTCACAGTACTTGCTGAGTATGCATAAACTCATCATTCTCTTCATGTCTCAGGGCAAGATAATCCCAAGTGACACTTTGAGAAATCCCCTATACCTAGTTCAAATCACTGCCTCCTAGAACCCCTCCCCAGCCTAGTTCAGTGCTCCTTCCAGGAATTCCACATCTTTTTGAGGTAGTATGTCCTACCTGGTGGTGTACTCAGACATTTATGCCTCTCTCCCTCACTGAACTCAAGGCTCTTTGAGGGTAGGGACTGTGCCTTTTTTTTTTCTTTTTTAAAGATTTTATTTATTTATTTGAGGGAGAGAGAGAGAGAAAGCATGAGGGGGGGAGGGTCAGAGGGAGAAGTAGACTCCCCACTGAGTGGGGAGCCCAATGCAGGACTCCATCCTGGGACTCCAGGATCATGACCTGAGCCAAAGGCAGTCTCTTAACCAACTGAACCATCCAGGCACCCCGGACTGTGTCTTTTATTCTGTAATCCTGATGTGCCTGGTAGATAGTAGGCAATCAGTAAATATTTGTTGGAGGAAATAATGAAGACATGAAAATGGCCTGCTTGCCTCCTTGGATGCTGAGTCTGACTGAGAGGAGGCTTCTGGGTTCTCTCAATTTCCTCAGCCCCCACAGGGAGTGTGGCTGGTGGAGAGGCCATCCAAAGTGGCCAGAGTGAGGTAACAACTCACTTTACAGCCTGGGTTAAGTGGTGCTGGGCCTGGAGGAAAGAAGAGCTTGGAGCTTTTTGCCTCTGTGCTTCATTTGTGAGAAGCTCAGAGATGCCTGTGAACCTGCCTTGACACTTCTCTTTCTTCTGACAGATATGGGAAGCCATAAAATCAGGCGCTGCTCTCGAAAACCCTGTCCTCCTCAACAAGTTCCTCCTCTTGACCTTTGCAGTAAGTAAATGGACTCTCAGTCACATTTAGACTGCTGCAATGCCCTGGCCAAGTCCAGGGTGCCAATAGAACGGTCTGCACTCTTCTCACTGAAGCTACTACCTGGTGTTATTGAAGTCAGAGCTGTTCAGGAAACACTCATTTGACAAGTGGCCCAGTAGTGCTGGCACTTATCACCAGTGCAAAATTAATTCATTCTTACCATACTGTTGGTAGTTGCATGGTTTATGTAACACAGTGACCCATGTCCTGTCATTCAGGACACAATAAAGTCAGCTTCAGGGAGTAGTGGTTCTTTGTCGCTAATGTCTTTGTTCAGTAGAGCCCTGCAGAGCTCAGTTGCTGGGTCCATCAACATAAGGAAAAGAAGACATCTTGGGGATCCTGGCTGTCCGCCAGCAGCTTCCAAACTAGAGGAGTTCACACTACATAGTTTGTCCACACAGCTGTGTTTTTTTAAGAATGAAAAATGTTTTGTGTAAGTGTAACATCTGCTGCCTAGGGAAGTAGGGGGAAGGACCTGGTCTCTGTGATGGGCAGTGTGGGGTTGATTATAGAGATAGCAGCCATATACACACACATACGTGTATGTACATGTGTGTATGTCTGTATATGTATATATATATATATAAAATTAATTTAGCTTTTATCATTAAGTTGACTATGCAATATTCTATCAAGTGTATGTTCTATAGACTTTTGTACATCTAGGTTGTTTCTGATATTCATTACTTTAAAAAATGTTGCAGTGAACAATATTGACTATACTGATTTTTTTTTCTCTTCATTTTATTTCTTTAGGAAAAAGCATATAAGCATATTGATGTTGACATATATTGAGTGTGTTGTTTTACCAGTTTCATCAGCTTTGGGTATTAATCCTCTTCCCTACATCCTTTCTTTTGCCCAGTTTTAGGTCTTGCCTTTCTTCTTCCTTCATGAACTAATCCTCTGTTTCTTCTGAACGCTGCTTGTCTGATTTGCTGCCCAATGCAAAGGAGAGAATGATAAAAATCATACTGAAGGCCACGCCAAAGGGTGGCTATCTATAAGGAGCACATATAACTAACAAGTTATAATGCTTTCTGTGTAATAGTGGGAGAGATAGAAAAATGTTTAAATTCTTCATGAGATTACTGGCTGCAATTTGTCATTAATTGCCTGTAAATTTGAGCAGTTTTGCAGATCTTCTAAGAGAAACATAAGTAGTGCTAGTTAAAGATTTCTGGGTTCGTTACTTTAACATTGATATATTTTCTGTACCAAGAATTCTAGTTAGTAGAATCTGACAGTTTGCATTTAATGAGAAAAATAACATTAGCTCTTACTTAAAGTTTTAAGGCTTTTCCTAGAGTTAGTTAGTATGTGTGTTCGCCCTGCTGCCCTTTTTACTGCTCATTCTTAGCCTGCCTTTTAAAAAAAATTAAAAGTCTTTATCTTTTAAAATCTTCAAACACAAGGGCTTTATGTTTAATTTAATCGAGGTCCTTTGTATCCTGAAAAGAATTCTAAGAAATTCAAGCCTTTTTACTTTTGAAGATGATCTGATAAAGCTTCTTAGAAATTATGAGGTCCTTCATCTTGAATTGTTTAACATTTGACTAAAGATCAGTTATGACAAATCATTTAAGTATAAAGAAGAAAGAATAATCTCTGGAGGTTTTTTTTTTTTTTAAGATTTTATTTATTTATTTGAAAGAGAGCAAGCATGAGTAGTGAGGAAGGGCAGTGGGACAAGCAGACTCTCCACTGAGTGAGGAGTCTGATGCGGGGCTTGATCCCAGGACCCTGGGATCTGAACTGAGCCAAAGTCAGACGTTCAACCAACTGAGCCACCCAGGTGCCCCTCTGGAGGTGTTTTTACTTTCCTTTCTGCTGTTTTTAGGACTCAAAGGAACTGGCACTTTAATTTTGATTTTGTAGTTTGTTTTGCTGCCGCCGTTTCAAAAGGGAATTTGTTCTTAGTTGACCAATTAATGCCAGAATTAGATACTGGAAACTATAATTACTAGACTTCCTCATCCAGACACACATTTATATGTACATTTATATTTAAAAAGTTATCTTGTAGAATTTCATTTATATGAAAAGCCCAGAATAGGCAAATCCATAGAGACAGAAAATAGATGAGTGTTTTCCAGGGGTTGGGGAGAAGGGGGAATGGGAAGTTCTGTGGATGGGTGTTTCTAACTAATAAACTGATGGGGGGGTTCTGCTATTAGAGTTTTCTTTTGGAGACAATGAAAATGTTCTGCCATTGGGTGATGGTGGTACAACCTTGTCAATATACCAGAAAACCACTCCGTTTTACTCTTTAACATGGTAACTTTTATGGTATGTGAATTATATCGTAATAAGAAGTCATCAAACAACTACCTATTCTTTATTCTTAGCAAGATTCAAGAAGAAATATTGATTAGCCAAATAAATAAACTAATGGAGAAGCTGTCAAACACCCATGTAACTATGAGATCCCACCATAGGAGTGACTTAGGCCACAAAGGCTGCAGGAATTCAGAGGCAAAAGCATCCAACCTGAGTGGGAACGGTTTTCAAGAACAGCTTCATGAGTCATTATCCCTGCCTTGCTTCCCCTGGTGGAAGATAAACCCCTGAAGATGAAATCTCATGTCACTGTTGTTCTCAGAACCTCTTCTGTGACCCATGGCATTAATCATGGTCTCACTTTATCTCTGCCTGTACAGAGAGTGAGCTGCCTGAGGGCTGGACTGGCTTTTATTTATCTTATTGTCAGAGCGTCTAATGTATTGCTCTGTACCTGGCAAGTGTTTAGTAGTTGTTTACCCAAATTTCACCAACAAGGCATTTCTGAAAGCAGTGCTTTATTATCCCAGGCATATAGAGGTTATGGATAGCACAGCCTCTTCAATAACATGCTCCATTCATTTGACTATGAAGAGTGGTAACCATGTCCGGTGGTTGGGCCTCCCCAGATAGATCATTGAGTATGTATGGTACTAAGGACAGAGCTTAAATTACGGAAAAAGAATTCTGCCCGCCCCCCCACCACTCAGTATCTTTGTTTTGTTCAAGTTCTTCACTTCCCTCTAAGCTTCAGTTTTCTGTCCATAAAATGGAATAAGAGTTATGTCCTGAGGTGGTTTTGTGTATTTAACAGTGATGACGATAATTGCCAATTAACACTTTCTGTTAGCAAGTGGTTAATATGTTTATCATGAGATATTATTGTGTGGTGTATGGGAATATTTTAAGAGAAGGACAGAAATTCTGTATTCTATCATGAGTTCTGTTGGAGATGAGACTTTCTGACCAGCTGATCGTATCTTGTGTGCATTGGTGTGTCTGCCTACAGGGCGGTTTCAGTTTAATCATTGGTGCTATTCTGATGTCTTCTGTTATATTCTTTCTTCTAGGATCTAAAGAAGTACCACTTCTACTATTGGTTTTGCTTCCCTGCTCTCTGCCTTCCAGAGAGTATACCCCTCATTCAGGGGCCAGTGGGCTTGGATCAAAGGTTTTCTCCAAAACAGGTATCAAGTAAAATAAAATGCAGGCAAAATTGGGTTTAACGCATTTGAGTACTTTAATTCATTCTAAAGACAGATAGGCACTTGTCTGAATGGAGAGACAGTCACTGTGGAATCCTGCAAAGATGGTACTAGGAGCATACTTATTTACAAAATGTTTGTAAAAATCATTTTGAAGGAGTAGTGAGTGATACTTTTTCAAGTTTTCGGTGACATTTGGTGAAAGGCTCAGCTGGTAGGGAGAAGTTATACGAACATGTTGAAAGTCTGCAAGAATTTGCCAAAATGTGGTTTTCACTTTCACTGTAGAGGACCCTAAGGCAGTTTGCTTTGAGAAGAGTCTTTAAAAACAAATAGAAGACATTCTACTACCCTCACACCAAGTTGTAGAACTTCTACATCAGAAATGGTACACACAGAGCTAGTCTTTTTCTTTTTTTAAGATTTTATTCATTTATTTGACAAAAGAGACACAGCAAGAGAGGGAACACAAGCAGACGGGGTGGGAGAGGGAGAAGCAGGCTTGGCTCAATCCCAAGACCCTAGGATTATGACCTGAGCCGAAGGCAGACGCTTAACAACTGAGCCACCCAGATGCCTCCAGAGTTAGTCTTTGTGGTCTAAGAAAGACAGTAAGGTCATCCGAGATGGTCCTGAGGAGAGCAAATGAAAATAATCAGGCTAGTAGAACATAGACCCCAAACCAAAGAATTTTGATTGTCATTGAAGCAAGGATTGAGTGGCAAGATGATTTGAAATCATCAAGCACTAGGAAGGAGCCCTTATTGATGAAAAAATAGTAATAAGTTTGTTTAGGACAAATTGAAGGTTGTAGTTTTGTGGAACTAATTTCCCAAGAAGAGATATAAGTGGAGGAAAAGGATTATGCCATGGGACTGACTACTGATGGATACAGAGGAAAAGGATTATGCCATGGGACTGACTACTGATGGATACAGGGTTTCTTTTAGGAATGACATAAATATTCTAAAATTATTGCACTGATAGTTGCATAATCCTGTGAACATGCTAAAAACAGCACTGAATTATGCACTTTACATGGGTGAGTTGTATAGTAAGTGAGGTACGTCTCAATAAGGCTGCTGTTTTATGGAAAGGTTCAGGGTAAAATTCATCGGTGGATTCAGTGCTTCGTTATTACAGGAGAGAAATAATGTTTGGAGCTCTCTCTACACCTTTGTGATTAATATCTTAGGGAGCCACCGTGCTGCACCATAAAATGTCTCCTCATGCCCTTAAGACACAGCACCATGCACGTAGAAAGTGTTATATAGAAGTGAATATTTGGGGTACTTCTATGTTCATTTGCTACAGAAGAATAACATGGTTATGCTCAGTCATTTCTAGTCTTCTGGCTTTAAAGTACCTTTTATGTTAATTTTTAGCTCAGAACTAGATATGTAATTGTCTAGAGAATAACTCAATGTTTCCTGTTCTTAGATTCAAGCCCTTGGGTGTGCATATGATGATCTTTGTCAAACAGAAGGAGTCCCAGCGCTACCTTACTTCTTAATCAAGTATGATGAGAACGTGGTGCTGGTTTCCCTGCTTAAACACTACAGTGATTTCTTCCAAGACCAAAGGACAAAGGTCAGAAAAACTCTGAGTTTTGTTTTATTATCCCTTAAAAAAAATCTGATGTTCATGTCTTAATAGACCACTGCAAAATTCAAACTCAACTTAGATTTCTTTAGCCCTCCAAGGAATGTTGTGGAACATTCTTTATCTTCATGCTCTCCCACCCCTGCTGTTCCCAGATCAGCTTCTCCAGATTTTCTTAGCTCTGTTACACCTCAGAGTAATTTTGGGTTCCTCCCTTCCTATTCGTGATAAAGTTATTTCAATTTTCCTTCCTGATATATTTTGTATCTATATTTTAACTTATTTCCAGAGTTACCACCATAGGTCAGGCCCTGATTACCTCTCTCCTGGACAGTTAGAGTCTTCTTGCTTCTATCCTGTGTATCACCACTTGCCTCAAACTGCTCACATTCACCTGTCCTTCAGTGATCCGGTTAATGGTGTCTTCCTTCTAGCTCCAGGCCACCTCTCCTGCCTCATCTTCTATTTTCCTCATAAACCATTGCTCAGCTGAGTTTGCCTGTTTTTTTCAGAGAACCCTCCCCCTTACCCCTAACCCCACTAATCAAGTCTACCTAGGGATTTTTCTTTTTTTCTTTTTTTTTTATTTAAAGACTTTATTTATTTTGACAGAGAGAGAGACAGCGAGAGAGGGGACACAAGCAGGGGGAGTGGGAGAGGGAGAAGCAGGCTTCCCGCTGAGCAAGGAGCCCGACACAGGGCTCGATCCCACGACCCTATGATCATGAGTTGAGCTGAAGGCAGACACTTAACGACTGAGCCACCCAGGCACCCCTACCTAGGGATTTTTTTCTATCTCTCTTTGACCTTGCACTGTATCATCTGAAACATGTTCTATGTGTGAAAATCTTAAGAAACTCTCCTGATGGAATCCTAGCTCCACAGTGAAGCCTTCTCACAGGGTGGCCTGGCCGTGTGTGATCTTTCCTTTTCTGATCTCACTGCACTTACTTTCTGATCCTCATTTACTGTCCTGTTCCCTTGTGCAGATTACTTTTTGTTCCATACTAGATGGTAAGCTCCTAAAGGGCAGAGCCTGTGTCTTAATATAGTTGCATCTACAGTGTCTGGAACTGGTCTTAGGTCCTCAATAAAATTCTTCTGAACAAATGAAAAAGTACTGTAAGTGTCTTTCAGAAGTGTATATAGTGAGCTATCTCAGCCATATAAGGGATTGTAAATTAAAAATAAACAATTGATGAAATTTATGAAGTTACAAAGTCAAGTGGGATAATTTCATTAGCCATGTAGATATATCAGAGTTGAGAAAAGAGAGACCTCTAACAGATGCCCTGATTGTTCCTTAGCCTGAGCTTAAGATACTTTTTTTTTAAGTACATTTTCTTCTCAACTACATTAGCATTTTCCTTTACAAAATAATACTATATTAGGTGCTAGGCATTCTGTTTTCTATCCTCTTCTTTTTTTTATCTTTTTGAAAAATACCTGTTGTGAGCCACTAAGTGACTGGAACTCACAAATAGCATATCACTTTAGTTTAGACAGTGCTGATTGCCCAGTTTGAGAATACTGGCCAGTAAATGAACTGCACTAAGTATGGTTCCATTTGTGATTTTTATTTCCAGCTGCATCTTTCTGTTTTTAAATTCTCTTGAAGCTATTCATTATTTTAAGGTTTCAGGTTTTTTTAAGTAAACATTTTGTATATTTCCTACTAATCTTTTTCTATTTTTTAAAGACTAAGATGGTACCATATTCTCTTTTATTGTAGCATTTAGCCTAATGCTGTTACACTCTGTATCAACATCTTTTCTGATAGGTAACATCCAATTTTTGACATTTAGTTTTCTCATACTTCTTCACTATTAGGAGCCTCCCTATGCATCAAATTCCTGCCCTCCCCCCACTTATCTTGAATTATTTCCTAGTTTCTAGATAGAGAATTACTGACTTAAAGGGTTTGGACATTTTAAGAGCTATGATCAGTGGTGTGCTGGTAAATGTTTGACAGCTGGCTCTCAGGTGGGGCAAAACTCTGATTGTGTATGTTTGCTTCTTTCCATGGTGCCAGTACTCCCACCATGGCCGAGTTGGTACTGCCAAAATGAAGTCACAGAGTGCAGAGATGGGAAGAGATGGTAACAGTTGGCTTTCCCCAGTCTGTTCAGGTCACCTCTGGCCCACTGCTTATCATAACTGTAGCTCACAAACTGTGCTGGTTTTCCCTCCTGCCAGCCGTGCACCCTGACCAGCACTGGGATGTTACACATTTTACACATTTGCATCAGTTAAAAATGGGCCTTGTTTACGTGCTTCTTTCCCTCGATGAGATGTTGATGCCACTTACTGGTCACGGTGGCAACTGCATTGTTAACAATTAGTTGTCTTTTAAGCCAGTGTTTGTGATTCCATCAAAAACAGCCCGTATTGCTGTTCTGTTGCCAGTCTTTAGGGAAAGCTTGCTTGAGCCTTCTGCTTTCTTTAGAGCAGTTATTGAAGATTGGATGTTTGGGAAACATTTTGTAATTTTAACAATATTAGCCTTTAATTCTAGGGTTTTAAAATCTTTGGACAAGAGCAATAGCAAAGGAACAGCAATTGGTATGCTATTAGCAGGGCTCTTTCTTCACTTAGCAAGCTCCACATCTTGGCAGCCGTCTGTGACATGGCGACGCATTAGATACTTGGATTTTCTATCCTGTACTTTTAAAACATATAATCGCCTTGGCACATTTCCTGTTATACTGAGTATTTGAGTAATAGATGGTCGTTTGTCAGATAAGTGTGTTTTAAGGGATCGGTGTGGAAATTTCTCCAGCTGAAGATACTCAAGTTGACAATTTTGCCCTCTTTTCTTTCTCACATTGTACTTTTTCAGCAAATAGCTGGGTGGACCATAGCCAGAGCATGACTGAGCTACTTCAACGAATAGTATGCTCTCAGCCAAGTAGAAAGGAGCATTTATTTCGACAACCTTCTAAACAAAATTTTTTTTTCCAATTACATTTTGCTTCTTTCTACTGATTTGTATTATAAAAGAAGTGATTTGTCCAACTTCACACAATGATTGTGTGACAGGCTTGTTGGAGAACACAGAACTCCTAGCCCATAATGATTTCTGACTGCCACTACCACCAACAAAAAATCTATTTACCCAAGTAGTTAAGCTGGCTTACCTAGCATTGTGCTGACTAATTCCTATAGTGATTGAAGTTCCTGATTTGGTTCCAAAAGCACTTAAAGATTTTGGAATCACTTTTGAATCATCAAAGAATATTAAATGATGTTCAGTCTTATGTCAAATGGATTCTATCATTTTCCTGTGTGGATGCTTGCCTTTTGTACTCATGCATGCCTCATGTGGGTAGGAGAGTTACTTTAAAGCATCTCAAAGTCAACCTCCCTTTGTGGTTGATAGATTTCTCTTCAGCAGTTCATTCCTACTCTGTAGCTCATCTTAGGTCAGGTTGCTCTAAGAAACTTATTCCTGGTTTTTTCTGCTCAGAAAAAGTGGTTTTTTTTGTTGTTGTTGTTGTTTTTACTACCTTCCTATCTCATTGCCTTTGTATTTAGTGTCAGAAATGTACTCATTCTTTGAAATTAGGTACCCACTTACAGTATCTAATTATGACATTCTTGTTTCTATAAATTCATTTAGTCCCAACTCTTATAGATGATAAAACCCAAATGTAGAAAATATTTGATAAACTGGAACTTATCCCCTTCTTTTCTCTGCCAGTTAGGAAAAAGGGAACCTTGAGATGGAAGGTAGATCACTATGTAACGATAACAGATTGAACTGAACGGAAGGGTCAGTGCAGGTACAACAGAGTTTATTTACACTACTGTTATGGTTAGCATCTGTTGAGTGCTTGCCTTGTTTCCAGTCTCTGTATCCAGGCAGAGTTCTCTAAAGAGGGGAAACCTAAGGCATAGAGAGTGTATGAGAGTAAATAACTCAGGGCATCTGCTAAGAGTCCAGGTTTATTGAGTCACATTTGAAAATTGAAACTGAGAGTCTCAATATGAAGGGCATTTTCTGGATTGATGCTATGTAGATTCTCCCTAAATGAAAATTGAGTAGCCTTTAGATACCCAGTAAGATTGAGCCTAATAACTCTGTGTTGTCTTATAACCTGTGTAGGATTTTGTTTCTCTTTTATGTTCTATAAAGTTCTATAATTCTGGAGCTAGAAGGAATCCTTTGAGATGAAGTGCTACAACCCCTCCATTTTATAGGTAAGGAGAGAATATCCCCACGGTCACTTTTCTTTCCTATGTTAGTATGTTTGTCTACTCATACCCCAAGGTCTGAAAATCAGTTAGCGGTAGAAAGAAAACACATGCCTGCTGACCTCTGGCTTTTTCTACCACATCAGGTCATTTTCTTCTTCTAAGCTGTTTTAAATGTTACGGAAGTAGAAGGCCAATCTCTCCCTTCTCCCCCTTTTCTTGCTGGATAATAGAGTTGTAAATATCTCTGATAAATTTTTGAAAAGGTGAAGTCAAAGCGATGATTACTTAATAAATGTAGTTTGCCAGCAGATGCCATCAGTCATGATTGATAGAAGGTTACAAAGCTGAAAGGTGTCCCAGGTGGTGGTGATGGCCAACGGGACCAGAAGAACTCAAGGGAGACAACTTCTTTATTCAGAAGGAGCCCTGGGGGAGTGCTTCATTCTTCAAGTTCTCTCACTTCTCAGAGCAAGTCTTTGAGATTAAACTGTCACATCCTCCCCAGGAGAGTCCCAGTGTTAAAATGTCACTGAAGGGGGAAACTGTACTGTTGAGAAAGGAAAGGGGAGGAAAAGGAGCCAGCCAAGATGCTGCACCATGGCTTTATATGTGGGCTTCAGATCTCTGTTGGTCAGCCATCACCTCCCTCCCTCCAGGGGCCCCCCAGGATCCCTGCCCAAAGATGGGATGTAAGGGGCAGGGCTTTCCATATAGTGGGGCCTGGAGAACTGGCCAGTTCTGTCATTTATTCAGCACAATTTGCTGAGCATTCCATACTATGCCAGGTACCA